CATGGGTGCCTGTACATGTTTTGTGTGTATCTTGCAGCCTACATAACTATATAAGGGTTTTAGGATTTGTTGGCTTTTACCCTTAGAAATATTTTGAGCATGACAGTCTTACTGTGCAAGGGCCAATCTGCATATTATAGTTGCCATATGAATGTTAGCTAATTTGATTTAAAAGCTTCAGGGGAACAAAATCTTCTATACAACAACCGCACCAGACTTTGACTATAATGTGTATCCATTGTCATGGGAATGTAAGAATAGGTGCACCAAGCACAGAGGAATAGAAGAGGCAGTATCTTATTAAGGGGCTAAATATTGATTGTTCGACTGTTGCCAAAATATTTTTAGAATTTTATAGATTTTTATTTCTACATATATCTCTGCTTTATTAGTATTAGTTGACTTGGTTATTGGAGCTTGGGGGACTTACTGTTGACTAATTTTGTACTGTGTAACAAGGTAAAACTATTTTTTTTAAATTATGTAACTGTTAGACAAAGGGCAAGTTAGCAATTGCTTTTGCAGTTTCAGAATAATATTGTGATATATGTCTTCCCATTGATTTGTACTTTAATACTATGGTTAGAATAGATTGGTGTTAATACCTTTTTGTCTCATATGTCATCTGGAAATTTGTGCTGGGTCTTTTAAGGGAAAGCTAATTATTACTTTTAATTTTCAATAAATGTTTCATATGACACTCTTCAGCCTGGAAAGAGGAAGACTTTTGCCAGGAAAGAGGTTACACATCTTACAATATGGAGAGCCTAAATTGCCTGGATCCAAACCAATTACTTAATTCAGTGTAAGCAGAAACTCCCATAATGAGATAGAATATCATCATCTGCTTGTCTGGTGAAATGTGTTTTGGACAGTTCTCCCAAGGCAGTCTAGGTCATGGCAGAGTTATAGTTCTGGGATAAAGGGGGAATGTATTAATCCAAACAAACTGAAACTACAAAAAATTAAAAGCAATATAATTTAATTGTGTAAGAAGAAATATAACAGGATCTTGATCATAATGGCTTTGTTGGCAGTGAAAAGAAAGCCTAATTCTATAGGGTTTATATGAAAAAGAACATGCTATTTTCATGGGTATAATTGGAAATACTGACTTTCTAACTAGCCAAATAATCTTCTAAGAAACTATTTCAGGATTTTGCACATATCCTTTGTTTAATATAAGACTTAAACACAGTTGTTAGTTCCCAGCAAAAACAAATCTGTTGAAACAATGGAAATTCAATAAAAACACTTATTGCACTTTGTGCCGGGTAAATCTGGGGAGATTCAATAATGCATTCATTCATGCAATACTGAATCTGACCTGATGTGAAGTTTACACTATGATTATCCCAATCAAATCTATCAGGTGCAATGTAACCATCTTGAAGTTCATACTAACGAAAGTACAGATTCAAAATGGATCCTCCCTATCGATTACATTTGATCATTTTCGGGGGGGGGTTGTTGTTTTGTCAATCAAATGTTGTTTTGTCAATCTATGTCACTTCACTTACGTTGTCACCATTGGTGACGTCGCTTTGTATCCAGGGGGAAGGAGGAATTAACACTTGGAGGATGTGTCCTCCATTTTTGCCTTCTGTCCAGGAACAGTGTCCAAAATGTCCTCCATTTTGAGCAGGACTAAGAAGCACACATTCTATATTTATATGAGCTTTTATTGGGGCAGGTCCTCCATTTCACTTGCACATTATCCATTTTGTGGTGCCTCGTCCCCCCTCCCCTCCAACAGGGACATCTATCTGGTCACCCTGGGATGAGGACAAGGTGACTAGGGTGATTCTCTTTCCCAGGACTTGTCCTCCATTTCATCCTCCTGTCCAAGAAAAATGTCCAAATGCCCTCCCTTTGGAGCCTGACTGAGAAGCATGCATTTTACCCCACATAGATGGCAGTGGTGGGAGCATCAGATCTCCTCCCAGCCCCTGGCATGGATGGGAGGGTGCCAAGACTTACATCCCTCCCTCCTTCCCTCCTTCCCTCTTTTCTCCTCCCTCCTCTTTCCTCCCATCCCTCCCTCTACCCACCCACCCCTACTTGCAATGGCATCATTGGGGAACACAAAAACAAAATGAATCACCCCCTGCATGGAAGCCACACATGGGTGCAATGGTTCACACACTCTGTCAAAAAAATATTTTAAGGAAAAAAAACATGCTCTCAGAAAAGCCCCCTTCCCTGGCTTTGTCAATCCAAACATCTGGCAATGTCATCGTAGGAGAAAAACAGCAGAAAAGAAAAACAGCTGAGCAGTTGTTTAAAGGGCACATCAGCAGGAAATTTGAAAACACTCAGAGCCGGCAACTACGCGTGAGCACAAAAATGGTGTTGCCATGGGATAGACATGTTCGGTCTCTCTGCCCATTGATCTCTCCCTTCAGGAAGCCTCGAATCTGATCAGGAGCAAGTTCACATTGGCGGCACCCTGAAAAAACCCAGTGTTTTGCAAAAAACATGGGGGGAAAGTTGTTTCTGAAAAACTTTGGTTAAGGGGATTTGACATGGGCCCACCCCAATTTGGGTTGGAAAAGCCCGATTCCAGTATGAACGACCCCACATTTAAACCGGTTTGTAACCTCGGTTATAACGTAGTGTGAATGACCCCCTAATTTGAACTAACAAAATAATATAGGCCTAATTCTATAAAAATTGGCACATATATAAATACAAATCTCTTTCAAATATCCAAAATTCATGGAGGAATGTAGAATTTTCTGCAGGAGATCTTATTAACAGGATCCCTCTTTGGATACTTTGATATTTAATTCATAGAATGCATTTCATAAATTGTATGAACAGTCTCTTTTGATAAGTAGAAATTTGGATAAGACGTAGAAATTTGATAAGGGCACATGCATAAAGGAGATTACTTTTAAATCCACTGCTTTACATACTTACATAGAGACCTGAATTTTATAGCTTAATCCTATACAGAATAGACCCACTGAATCAACTGTTGAATGGGGAGTCAGCATTTATAGATAAATTTCATAGGTTCAGTAGGTCTACTCTAGTTCAAGCCAAAATCTTCCAAACTGTGGACTAACATAGAGGATGATAAGAACTGTGATCCAGCAAAAAACAAACAAACAAAAAACTTTTCAAGATATGTAGCACAATGTTAAATGTCAGTACTGCAGCCATTCACTGACAAACCACAAGGTTGTGAGTTCAATCCCAGCCAGGGGCTCAGGGTCAACTTAGTCTGGCATCTTTCCGAGGTTGCTAAAATGAGTACCCAGCTTGATGGGGACAATCATCTTACAGTTGTAAACCAATAAAAGACTGCTTAAGTTGTATGAAGCAGTATATAAATGAAGCTGCTATTGCTATTGCTAGTTGTAAACCATTTAGAGACTGCTTAATGCGGTATGAAGCGGTATATAAAAGAAGCTGCTATTGCTATTGCTATACGCATGCCTTTTCACATTCATACATTTTTTTTGTTTGGTATTTTACTTTGCCAAGGAAGTCTTATACTGTGTTTATATTTAGAGAATGCAATTACAGTACTGAAATAAGTGCAGTGCTTTCTTCTTGAAAAACAGCAATGAAAACCAGCAAGGTTTAGCTGTGAACCTGTCTGAGTGGAGTCTTACTGCTTTGTCTCAGCCTTATTTATCTCAGTCTTAAGACAAAATAGCACGCATGTCCCTTTGAGCTCCTTGGAAGAAGACTGGGTAAAATATAATAAGTAAACAAATCAGAATGAGCCATTAAGCCATTCTGTACAGGGTTTACATCATTAATTTGGCAGTATAGAGGGACAAAGCTAGCTTTTCCAGTACAGCAAACGCAGAGTTGCCAGCTCCCAACTGGAGACTGTTGCTCATCCCTTAAGTGCTCCTGACTTGGGACACCAGGAGAAAATACAGCGCTGTCTGTGTTTCCACTTCATACTAATTTTTAGTCATGCTTGCTTTCTCCACCCCTGGCTTGTTGTCAGAGGTACCAACTTTACAGGGAGGGGAAATTGAGGACTTAAGCTCCCTCTGAGTTTCCCAAATGGAAATTTCTTGACAGCACTTTGACCTGTCAATCTCAAATGAAAGACTTCTTCCAAGAAATCCTGTAGGTGAGCTGAAATATTACAGTGATTCCTTGGCTGAGTTGAAAGAAACAGCACAGAGTGGAAGAGAAAGCAACTGAGCCCCAACACTGCTTTACACTCCTTGAAAAGAGAAAAAGTGGGCTATAATTAAAAATAATGCAAACATCCTCAGTAGTGTCCCCCTAGTCTTAGCATAGCCTTCAGTAATATGAAACAGATAAAGCATTACAGAAAATCTTCCAGAGGGCAAGAAGGGTTTAACACACTCCCTGAAGAAATTACACTTGCTAGACACATCTCTCTTGATAACGGATGAATCTGCCAAAATGAAAGCAAGGAGGAAATTATTTAAGTAGGTGTTTCCTTATTCACTGTTGTAATAAGTGGTTTTTGTTTATATGAAGCAAATGTTTGATAACTTTATTTCTTCTTTTCATGTAAATCCAGAAAGCTGTTTCCTTTCTAAATCATTCTCTGTCTAAGTAATGAATGAAAGTGAACAAGTTAAAGCTTTATTCAGACAAAACAGAGATGTTCCTTGCCAGTTGTAAAATGCACTAGAGAAAAGGGATTCAGCTTGTTCTGGATAGAGTTACAATTGCCTGAAGTGGGTTCACAGTTTGGGTTTCCTAGTCTTGACCCTGCAGACTCAGGTTTTAACACTAGTCAAGAGTAGGACTGCCAGATTATAAACTGGAGAGCACTATTGTACCTTTAATGGTTGTGTAGAACAGGAAATGTCAGCAGGTATTGCTTGTCACACAACCAAATAACAAGCAATACCTGCTGAGTGTCCCTCTTGTTGTTGTAGTTGTTGTGTGCCTTCAAGTAGTTTCAGACTTATGACAACCCTAAGCAACCCTATCACAGGCTTTTCTGGGGCTGAGAGTGTGTGACTCACTCAAAGTCACCCAGTCGGTTTCCATGGCCAAGCAGGGAATTGAACCATGATCTCCAGAGTCGTAGTCCAGTGCTCAAACCATTACACCACACTAGCTCTCTTCTACACAACCATTAAAGTTACAGGAACCCTCTCCAGTTTTCACTCTGGCAACCCTAGCCCAGGAATGCCTTTGGAAAGTTAAAACTAGAACAACACTGCACCTGTTCCTGGAGTTGTCTGATGCCCAATGAATCTTAGTTACAAACTGTTTGAGTTTTTGTAACATACTATACAAGGGGCTATCCTGGAAGAATATTCAGAAACTTCAGTTGGTCCAACGACCTGCAGCCAAATTGTTAACTGGTTACAGAAAGTACACAATCTCCTATTACTATTCCATTTCCAAGCACAATATAAATTGATTGATAAAGTTTTATAGTCCCCTATAAGCCTATCCAGAAAAGACCTTCTTGCAATCCTGTTACCTATCCAGGGATGTCAGTAAGGAATATGGGAAGGTGATTTCTTGGTGGCTACCTGCAGAGTCTGAAACCCCCTGCTTAGGTAGATCAGATTGGCTCACTCAATGTCTTCTTGTCAGCAGATGAAAGCTTGTTTTACTGCTTTCACTTTGTATGACAGCTTGCGAAGTGTGCATACAGCCGGACAGCCAAGGTCATTTTTTGTGGGGGGAAACAATGTCCCCTGAATTTTTTTAATTGAAAAAATCAAAATGTCCCCTCACCCATCTAGGGACTGGGGGGACAATTTTCCGCAAATTTGAGGGGTGAGAGACACCTGGGCTAAGAACTAGTGAAGTAATTTGAGCACTCAGCTACAACTCTGGAGACCAGTGTACAAATTCCTACTCAAACATGGAAACCCACAGGGTGGGCTTGGACAAATCATATTCCCTCAGTCTCAGAAAAAGGCAATGGCAAATTTTCTCTGACTAACAGCCTATGCAGACTGGCCAAAAGGGCCGGCCTGAGGGTGGAGTTGGGGTGGGGCAACTGCATGCCGGATGCCCCAACTCCACCCTGATGCTGCCATCACACCTTGAACCCAACCACATGGTGTGCAGTGTCAGGGCGCCCCACTGGCACAGCGTGTAGATACATTGCACCAAAGGGGCACAAAAGAACCGCTGCCACGGTGCTAAGGGTGGCTTTTTGCCACCCCAAAAAGGAGCAGCATTTGCTAGCTCTTTTTGGAGTGGCAAAAAGCTGTATCGGGGCCGTGGCATGTGGTTGCTGCAGCCCCGATCCAGCGCTCCCAGGGGTGGCACAGAGCCTTCCTTTAGGGGCCAGCTGTACGGCCCCTAAATCTTGTTAAGAAATCCTCATGATAGATTTGCCTTAGGATCATCATTAGTCAGAAAAGTCATACATAACAACAACACCTGAGCCATTCTGGTCCAAAGGGAGGCCTGGTTTTTGAACCCAGTGACTTCCAGTTCATTAACTTCTCCAGAAAAATACCTGTGTATGATGTGACAGCAGACTTATTGCAATAATTGAACCCTGTTTCTCAAAGCAGCCAAACATGTAAGTATTGTTCTGTTCCCACTGGACATTGTATGAGTTTTGATTCCTTCTAAACTGTATGTTGTTCTGCACAATGACAAGCAAAATTTTAATATTTAAACACAGGAATTTGAGTCAAATACATTTTGTATGCACTGCACTATTCAAGGAACCAAGTTGCTCATTGACTGTACTAATGCTTAAAGTTCTGTTACAGTGAACAAGAAGAGGATTATTGTATGCGAGATAAAGTACAGCACAATTACTACTGTATATTCATGTGCTCTATGTGATCTAAATGTTAATGAAAGTACCGTAGCAGTTACTGGAGGAATTGGCAGCCTTATGTTAATTTTTCCAACTCCTGCAGTTCAGATGTTCTTGATTTCTCACTAGTGTCTTGCTAATCCACCACTGATAGGGACTTGCACAGGATAAGTTGGTATTGTTTGATTCATGTAATTAATTTCTGTATCCGACACTCAGTGAAGGGTGAAATTCTTTTCTCCAGGGCATTTCTTTTTGCCCCAATTGCACACTACAATAGTGCATCCAAGATGTGGGGAATCATCATCTGAATATGCATTAGAATGAAGTCGGTGTCAGCTGCCCAAATAGGACTACAGATATAATGTTGGAAGGAAGGTCTGTTTAAATGAGTGCTATGCTCTTTGAGTAAGGCACAGCAGTCCAAATTGGACTCCTTTGTAGGGGCTAAATTTAAAACAAAAATATTGCCACTTTCAGCAGCACCTGAGATTGGTTGTTGCCTAAATGTGCATTCAGTTGTAAATGTCAATACCTGGACAAGTATCTGTTAAGTTTGTTCTTGTTTGTTTTTCAGTTGTGAACTACTGTGCTTTGAATAACCAGGACTGTCAACATGAGTGTGTTAATACTGAAGAGTCCTACTACTGTCAGTGCCGACAAGGATTCATTCTCAATCCAGATAAAAAAACCTGTCGACGTAAGTTATTCATATCTGTATTCTCAGATTTCATAAGCAATGAGGGGCAAACACATATTAACTGTAACATGCAAGGGAAAAGACCATTGCTACATGACAGAGCACTTCTTTACACGCAAAAATATGTTAGTCTCAGACTCAGTGCATGGCATTTCCAATTAAATAGATTTTAGGGAGTTCTTGGAGACGTATTTTTTGTCAGGGAAGAAAATACTTCTAAGCTAAATAAGAAAAAAAAAGTTTATGCACATTTAACATTTTCTTGTTTGCATACCCATCTGATACAAGTTGGGTAAAACCCATATTTTTCACATGAAGATTATACATTCCTGGTGTACATATAATATATTCTGTTTCTATATAGGGATCCCTAAAACTTTATCTAGTTTTAGTAAAAAGAGAATATACTGCTTTTAAGCAAAACTGCTTTTAGGCAGGTGCTAGCTGAGAGGAGTTTATTTTTATGACAGTGTTCATTTTTTTATATCTTTTGCTGCTGTCTATTTAAACATGTTTCCCTAATCTTCAGGACCAGACTACTGTGCTTTGCAAAATCATGGCTGTCAGCAGGAGTGTGTCAATACAGATGAATCTTATTTCTGCCGATGCCAGCAAGGATTTACTCTTAATCCAGATAAGAGAACTTGCAAAAGTATGTTGTCCTAAAGTGTATAGTAAGTTCATCAGCTTTTACTTTTAAACATTGCTGTCATAGCCTCCCCCTTCCCACAATTGTTGATCTCTTATCTCATAAAGCAAAAGTTCTGAATGTACCTGAGAAACTGCTTCCTCTCTATGTCCCATTATAATCCCTAAAATCAACCTACCTCCCCCTGGATACATAGATAGTACATTTGCCTCACATTTGTGGGACTCCTTTCTTTTGAGTTCTAAGACCTAAGGCTAACCATAATTCAATAGCACTGTGCAACTTTTTAAAAATTGCATTGGCTTATGATGAACAAAACCTACTTGGCTGAGGTATAGAATGTAACATTTACTCTTTATGCTATTTAATAGATAATAATAGATACAGGGTGTTTTTGAGAAGCATGCATCTGAGTATGTTGCCAGAAACTACAAGACTTTTGACAGCAATATGTATATAAACTAATTTATATTATGACAAAGGTCAGCAACCTACGGCCCATGGGCCGGGGCCGGCCCCCCGAGGCCTTTGGACCGGTCCCCGCCTGCCGACACCGACCCCCACCGACCCTTGCAGCCACGCCACCACCGCACATGTTGCAGCCACTATTTTGTTTTCCAAAATGGCGGCCGTGACTTATTTGCGCATGCGCAGTACTGCTGCGCATGCGCAGTACTGCTGCGCATGTGCGAATGAGCCGTGGCCGCCGTTTTGGAAAACAAAATGGCTGCTGCGACTCGTTTGCGCATGCTCCGAGTATTGCGCATACGCAAACAAGTCATGGCTGCCATTTTGTTTTCCAAAATGGCAGCCGCGACTCGCTCGCGCAATATGCAGTACTCCCCCACACACACTATTGGCCTGCGGAAGACCAGGGGATCCCCAGACCGGCCCCAGGTAAGGGGAACTTGCCGACCCCTGGATTATGAGATATAAACCACTCTAAAGTTCAGATAGGCTCCAGGTTTAGGTGGATCCCTGATATTGTATAATCCAAAGGGTTCTTGAAAGCCCAATTTGTTATGTTTATCTTAGTTTTCTCAAATACAGTATTCCAGAAATGCCATTGTTGTGTTATTGTGAGAAATATTGTGGGGAACACAGCATAGCAACTACTACAAAAATATGGAAGCCTCCAATGGCACTACTATGGTTGTGTGGAGAATATCATGCTTTGTGATCCAGAGGACAATGGAATTTGGACCAGAAAAAAATAGAATGTCTGGAGCAAAATATTTCAGGAAAAAAATGAGATGATATTTGCCACCTTTGCTACCAGGAATCAGAAGCATCACTGTTGGTAGGAGGTTTCAACAGATAATATTGTGCAGCTTCAGACTATGCTGCATAGTAAGACTGAGCCTGCTAAGACCAACTAAGAACTCTGGTTAATTATATCATAAATGTGCCAGGTTTCCAGTATATGCACAAGAGTTTTGGAAGCTTTGTCCTCCTGATACTATCCCCTTGCACAAGCAAAACTCCTTTCAGAAACCTCAACTGTTTATTTGACTTTGATTGCAGGGAATTAATTGGGTGAAAATTTTAATGGCCTTACATGCAGATTTTTAATGAACGCTTTAAAATGTTCTTTGCTTCTCAGCATTGCTAGCTGTTACGATTACTCGTTTTCACTTGTCGTAGGAATAAATGTCTGCGCCTTGGAGAAACATGGCTGTGAACATGAGTGTGTTAACACTGAAAGCTCATATGTGTGTAGATGTCGAACTGGATATACCCTGAACCATGACCGTAAAACATGCAGAAGTAAGTACATTGGAATTTGGAAGAGTTAATTTGTATGGTGGACTGACTTCTGAAATAAACAAACTTCTGCTAGAAATATCCTAGAGATTGCTTTCAAAAAAGATGCTTTTGCTATTCTAACAAGAGTAGCTTAACTGAGTTTCTGCTAGCAAATGATTTAACTGTGATTGTTTACCTGACAGATAAGAAAATTGCTGAGAAAGAGG